GGCCACTTAAATATCTGAAGCGATGTCATGTAAAAGGCTCAAGTGGTTAACACGCCAATTCTGATGATTGGAAGATCAGAAGGTTGGCATTTTGAGGCCCGGGTGCTGTATGATGGGGTGAGCTCCCATTGCTAGTCCCAGCTTCTGCCAACCTAGAAGTTCGAAAGCATGCAAATTCAAGTAGATAAATAGGTACCATGTCTCAGTGGGAAGGTAGTAAACAGTGTTCTGTGCAATCATGCTGGCCACATAATCTCAGAGTAGTCTCTGACAACATTGGCTTTTCAGTTTAGTAACGGAGATGAGCACTGCCCCCTATTGCCAACCTTGTCAATGAGGAATACCTTTACCTTTACCATGTAGGAGGAGGAGCAAGCTTGTTTTCTGCCACTCCAGAAACTAAGACATGGAACAATTAATTCAAAGTACAAGAGAAGAAATTCCGCCTAAACCTTAAAAAGAACATTTTTACTGTATGCACAGCTCGATAATGAATAAATTGCCTTGGATGAAGATGGGCTCTCCATCTTTGGTGGTCTTTAAACAGAGGATGGATGTACACTGTTCGACAGAAGGGCGGGATCAAATTATTATTATTATTATTATTATTATTATTATTATGATGTTTCAGGAGTGCTTTAGCTGTGTACTTATGCATGGCAGGAGGTTGGACTAGATTGCCCAATAATTTCTTCCAACCATGATTCTATAATGATTGATTTGTAAATCAATTAGTTAATTAATGAGTAAATATTTTAATACAATTGTCTAACTTAAAAAAACTTTTGTAACTTATCTTGAATCCCACTGGGGAAAAAGGTGGGATATAAATCTTTGAATTTTTTTTTAAATCCTATTTCAATTGTACTTTAGTTTTAATTCTACACTGTAAGCCATCTTGGTTCCCATACTGAGAAAGGTGGGAAATAAATTAATTACTGAAATAAAACAAAACAAAATTACTGTATATACTCATGTACAGTCGGCCCTTTTTATCCATGGATTTTTTAATGCAAGGATTCGAGCTTGAAAATATATTTTTAAAAAAAATATAAATTCCAAATAGCAAACCTTGATTTTCCATTTTATATAAGGGACACCATTTTTCTATGCCATTATATTTAATGGGACTTGAGCATCTATGAGTTTTGTTATCCACGGGGGATCCTGGAACCAAACCCCAGTGGATAACAAGGACCCACTGTATAAGTCTAGAAATTTTAGTCAAAAAAATTGACTCCAAAAACCTAGGTTGACTTATCCATGGGTCAATATAAATGCTATACTTTAACTCTTATTAAAAGGGTAACCATCCCCTGGTGAAAGGCAAGAGTGCAATCTGTCCTGGGAGCAATGACCTCCCTCTACTCTCTCTTCCATTCAGCCTTTAGTGTGAACACAAACAGTCATGCCTGTTGGAATTCTGTAAGTTCTTTGGCATTGTTTTCCTTTGCTTCATCATTTTGATCCTTTGCTGCATGCCCCTAAGTTTAGATTCACAGAATCATAGAATCATAGAGTTGGAAGAGACCACAAGGGCCATCCAGTCCAACCCCCTGCTATGCAGGAACTCCCTCAACTTATCCAAGAGTTTAACCCTCAACTTATCCAAGAGTCATATCAAAACTCATAATTTTGCCCCCCCCATCTACACTTGACTTATTCATGAGGTCAACTTATAGTCAAGTATATACGGTAAGAAATAATTTTGAAATTAGAAAAGAAATAAATAATGAAAATAGATATTTTAATTTGAATACATACTTTTTCCTGGTGAGTAAGATAATATCGGAACTTCCACACAAGATCTTGTTCCTCGTACGTTAGTTGCTTGGTTGGTGGGTAGCTCACTATGATCTAAACAAGAGACACGTATGAGTTTCTTTATAACATATTTTGGCCACCTTTTGCAGTGAATTGGGTGAACAAGTAAGAACTTAAAAACACTCATGTCTGAGAAAACATACTACAATCCCTCATACCTCTCACATCTTAAGTTTCTCTCACATTTTAAGTAAATACTCCCTTTCCCATGTTCCACAAACAGAAAAAGTCCTTCACACCTTTTTGGATAGTCCTGGGACCTTTTCACCCTAAACCAGTGTTTCTCAAATGGTGGGATGGGACACTAGGAATACATGAAATATTGGTTTGAGTGTTGGACTAGGACACTGGAGACCATGATTTGATTCTCAGCTCAGCCATGAAACCCATAGGGTGACTTTGCACAAGTCACATGCTGTCAGCCTCAGAAGAAGGTAATGGCAAACCTCCTCTGAACAATTCTTGCCAAGAAAACCCCATGATAGGTTTGCCTTAGGGTCGCCATTAGTCAAAAATGGCTTGAAGGCACATAACAGCAGCAATTTTAACTATGCTATTTACTTATAAAATATTAAAATGTGACCATACATGAATATGTGAATGAAAAAAATGCACACTAAGTAAACCAATTTTTTTTTATTCATATACTACATTGAATGGAGGGGGGGGGACACACAACATCCACATGTAGATGTAAAGGGGAGTCTCAAGGGAAAAAAGTTCCACTTTAACAATAATTCCACTTTCATTGCTATGGCTGCATCCTATGGATGCTTGAGGTTTGAAGTCTGCAGAGGCACTAGTTTGGTGAGCCAGCATAATGTAGTGTTGCACTAGGATTCTAGTGCAGGAGACCAGGGTTCAAATCCCTGCTCAGCCATGGAATACGTTGGGCAAGTCATACTCTCTTGGCCTTAACATGACGGCGAGGGCAAGTCTCCTCTTGAATAAATTTTGCCAAGAAAAGCACATAACAAAGTTGCATTAAGGTCACCATAACTTGGAAATGACTTGAAGGCACACAACACATGAGGCTCTAGATCTCTCCTGCTGAGAATTCTAAATACCCCTCTCTAAACTGCAAATCCCAGGATTCTACAGGATGGAGCCATGGTAGTTAAAGGGGAACTTATAGTATTATAAGTGTGTAGTGTGGAAGGGCCCCTGGACTAATTTTAGAACAGACTAGGCATGATTGTGTGCTCCAGGATGTGAAAGTGAGGCTCTGTAACTGCAAGACATGTGACAGAAATATATATTACTCCGGGATCAGCAAAAGCCAATCTTTACAAGGCCCACTGAGCAAGAATACTGGAAAGGGTTATCTGGGGGACTACAACTTTAAGAATCAGCCCACATGGCTACTAGTCATGCCAGCTAGAAAACTCTGAAAATGGAATCCAAAAGGTGTCTTTTTTATTTTTCTGCTCTGCTTAGGACAAAGTAATAGCAGCAGTGTGTGTGAAATTCAGACACCTACCTAAGTTTTTTTTTTTAAATTTTAAAAAGGTTCTAAGGGTGTAAATCTTTCTCATTCATATTTCATTCTCATTCATATTCATTCTCATTCATATTTCATTCATTCTTCTTTAGTATTTCATTCTTGTGGGCAAGAACCACAAATATCAAATGTTTTCTCTCCACTGGGTGACGTTATGAATGTTTTGACATGTTTTGACAGTTCTGCACATGTTGGGACTTTGTCTGAAAAGTCTGCAGCAAAATGAACCCTCTTCCCCCTAACCCCTCCAAAAAAAGAATTTTGCTTTTTTTGCACCACAGACTTATTTTCATTATAAAGCTTCAAAATGTAAAAAATATATATATATATCTTATGGTAGTTGACTATTCCACACTCCCCCTCAGGTTGATTCATTTACTGTTTCTTATTGAGGATGAGAGTATTTACAAATTCATCCCCAGAAAGCATGCTTCATGGAAAAAGAACATAAGCCATTGATAGTTTAGGGAAAGAATAAGTGAGTTTAGCATCTCCTAAAGGCTCAACCTCACACTGAGAAATTTGTATTTTAAAAATACAAACCCCAAAAGCTCTGTCTTATAAGGACAGAAATTGCTACACCTTGAAATTTACTCTGTAAAGTAACATTAGTTACTTCCTAGATTTCTAAAATCTTCAAAGAGGTCTGGCAGAGTTGGGGTAGTTTAATGAAAGGGAACATGTGAGACAACCATAATCCAAAACCATGGTTTACTATTATGTGCATACTTTGTCACTGTGCCTGATCTGCAGCTGGAAAACAGAGATTTAAGAATACAACATAATTTGAAGTATGTTTGCAAACTATTATATGTGTTGATTTTGGATGGGCAAAGTGAATTGCCCAAATTGGTAAACTATTGTTACAATCACTGTTCTGTCTCTGGAGTCCACTGTACCCTGGAATAGGAGTGTTGAGCAGCTGGAAAATATAAGGGACAAAAACTTTACACCATGTGTTGCCTAACTTGAGTTTGAAACCATGGTACACCAGTACAAACCATGTTCTCATGGGATGATGTCTGAATCAAGCCTGTGCCTGTTTAGAAAAGAGAAACTTAAAATGACACATATTCTGGAGAAGCCACACTGGCCATACAGCAAAATAAAACAAAATCCAAAATCTTCAAAGGAGTGATACCTTTAATGGAGAAGCACAATGCACAAAACACATAATGTAAGCTTAGACCTAGACCAAGGACAGCAAAATTTGAATTCCACATGACCAAGAGATGTGGCTTCTGCCTACAATGAGATCCCTTCAGCTGAAAAACAGCAAAGACAACATGTATACAAAACATTGTCACTTTTCTTGCTCTTCTATGATTTTTTTAAACATCTTTCACATGATGGAGAAGCAAGTGGAGCTTCAAAAGCTTTCATTTCATGTTTTGTGCATTTTGCCTGGCTAGTAAAGCTATTGCTGCTTTGTGGATTTTGGATTTTGTTTTAAAATGGTACAGAGAAGGCAGATCTGGCGGGAGGGCTTTCTCTCGGTCCCACCACAGATAATTTTGGTGAGGACTCTCTCTAAGGAGGAAGCCTTCTTGGTGGATGCTCCCAGGCTGTGGAACTCCCTTCCACTGGAAGGCCAGTTGGCCCCCTCCCTGCTCTCTTTCCACTGGTCAGTTAAGACCTTTTTATTCAGCCAAGCCTTTGTGTTTTAAATTATATAGCAGTAGTAGCGTAGTGGTGTGAGTATTGGACTATGGCTCTGGAGATCAGGGTTCGATTCCCCACTTGGTCATGAAACCCACTGGATGACTCAGGCTCAGGGGAATGCAATAGAAACCTCACTCTGAACAAATCTTGCCATGGTGGCTTCAGCTTAGGGTCGCCATAAGTCATAAATGACTTGAAAGCGCACAACAATAACAAAAAAGTGTATATGAATTAGTGTGGTATATTCACACACACTTATGTTTTAAATGTGCTTTAAACTGTTTTAATCCTGGGCTTTAATACACTGTTATATAATTCTTTTCTTTATCAGTTGTAAAATAGGATTTTAATTTAATATTGTTTTACACTTCTGGAAGTCACATTGGAATTCCTTTAAGAAGGGGGAGTATAATTTAAATTAAATAAATAAATAACTACATAAGGCAGACTACAAGCTGAACTATCACTGAAGTTTTTGCTAGTTTCTAACTCACAAACATACCCAGAAAATTCAGCATTCATTAAAAGGAAGAATGGTGCAGTAGAAACAGAGAGCAGGAACTTACATTAAGCTGATCTCGAGTAGCAGCATTGGGTTTGAGATCATGATCTGAAGGTCCACTTCTTAAGCTTCTGGCAAGCTTGTGATGTTTGCTTTCTACTAAGTTTTCCTTTAAAAAGAATAGCTGTTTTTAAAAACTCCTCAGGAAACCTGAAGGCACATACACAGTTAATGTTTCAAAAATCAACTGTAACACTGTAATCATAGATAGGAACACAATCAGGATGGTGATTCAGGAGTGAAGAATGCCACAAAAATTTCTTAATACGTAAATTACTTGGGGGCAGACCTGGATCACCAAGGAGAACAGCCTTACACTATAAATCTCTCACCTATTCCCTAAAAAAAGGATGATAGAGACTGAAATTGTTTTCCATGTCAAACATTTTCTGTCACTGAACTATGCTCCTCTCTATGCTCTTCAATATCATAGAACTATTGCACTACTGCAGCTACAAGTTATTTGGCATATTACCATTCTTTATCCAAATACTTCTGCAGACCTTTGCTATGCCTTAAATCTATATTCAGTTAAGCTTCAACAGCTTGAAATGCAAACAAATAAGGCTAATTAAAAACTAAAACTGAACAGAGACAGCATCACAAATTTGGATGTTATCAGCTTAAGCTTGGCTCACAGATAGCAAGCTCTGTAAAATCAGGGTGTAGAACTATTTTGGTTAGGAAGGGGGCTGCAAAAACAATGGGCCACAGGTAGAGTTGCTAGACTGAAAAATAGAGATGGCTCCCATACTTTTAATAGGTGTGGAGAAGAGAGGATTTCAGCAGGTATTGTTTGTCACACAATCAGGTAAAAGGCAATAGCTGCTGAAATTCCCTTTGTCAAACAATCATTAGAGGTATGGGAGCTGCCTCCATTTTTCACACAGACAATCATTTTATTACAGCCATTAGGCCAGTATAAAGACACATGTATAA